TTGTTCCAACAATTTCAACATTTTTTTCCACAAAGGACAAAAAAATAATGAATTGCTGTCATTTAATCTGAATATAAACAATGTTATCTTTAAAAAAAAAACAGCTGTTGAGAAACTTTTATACGGGGGTGGGCTTCAAAAATATCAGCAACCAGTTCTCTGCCTGGTTGCTGAGTGAATGTGGCCATGGTAGGTGTGGCCTAGCTGGCCTCCTGCAACACAGCAGGGGGGGCATTTTCACCCTCCCTGGGCTCTGGGAGGGTGAAAACGACCTTCCCCAGGCTCCAGTGGCCCTCTGGAGGCTGGAAACATGCCTATTTCTGGCCTTCCAGAACTTCCAGGAGGCCCAATTTTTTGCCCTCCCTGAGCCTCCGCCTGGGCCCTGCACTTACCTGGCATTCAAACAGGCTACATAGGGACTCCTGGGAGGGGTGGGGTGAGCGTGGCTAGCCAGGAGTGGGATTTGCTGGTTTGCCGAACCCACCATAAAACTAGCTATGGGTTTGCCCAAACCAGAGCAAACCCGTAGCAGCCCACCCCTGCTTTTATACTTTCCAATCTAAAAGTATTACGCAATTTAAGATTAGAAATATTCCTTGTTTAATAAAACATGTATGCAATACATTGAAGGGTTTTCACTGCAACAAAATTCATTGTTCTTTGCTATACATTCATATTTCCAGTGTATTTTCCAAGTTAGAGCAATTCAGCAGGTTATAAACCTATATAAAGCATTTGCATACTTTTTCTTCTATTTTTCTTCTACTATGTCACAAATTTTATATGTTCAGGAATATTTATATAAATTTATTTATTTTTTCCTGGAAATCTAACACAAGGTAAAAATAATAGAACAAAAATATGCCAGAATGTTTGTTTCATAAATCATTGAAGGATAGGCAATGGCATGTATGTTGTATGCAGTTGTTATATTTTGTTGCATGCTATATGCTTCAAGCACATATGTGTTAAAAATATTTTTTAAAAAAAATAGCATCTACAGCTAAAAGATATTTCACATGTAAATGGAATAATCAAATGAAGGATTATCAACTGATTTTTTTTAAAAAAAAGCTTAAAACATTCACAAAGGCAAAAAAATTACTTGAATAGAATGTTGAAATACAGATTCAAACTTTTAATCAGTCAATGAAGTGGGCTTATCAACTGCCATCTCTTAGCCATCTCTTTCTCATAAAGTTGGCATGAAGCTAATATAAAAGCAAAAAGAACTATATAATTGCACTCAAATTTTTGAAGGACAATAAAATAAAAATAAAACATAAATAAATTTACATTTATTTTATGTCATTCGGGGATAAGGTAACATTTAAAATTATAAGATTATTAATCTTTATGCAGTTAAATCTACTATAGCACTGAAAATTGCACAAAAGGTTTTTTAAGCTAATTAAATTGAATTTACACATATTTTAAACTGATTTCAATCCCAAAGGTTTTGGGCCAGCAGGGTATTTTCAGGAAGCATTTGCAGTATGAAGAACATACTGCATAGTCAGGCAGAACATCAGGGGAGCAACCGATTTATAATTTTCACAACTTCTCCAACAATATCACATTCATCTGAAGATGCACATTTCAATACGTTTTGAATATTTCCCAATTTCTATAAGAGATTCCCCCCCCAATTTTTTTTATTTCAATCTGCATATGCACAACAATACATTAATAGTGTGGCATCAATATATCATACTGTCAGCAGGTGCTCCGTTCAAAATCCAAGAAAGAAATACTTAGACTCTTGTAAT